AATTTTCCAAAGAACCCCCCCCCCCCACCCAAAAAAAAAAATCGCAAAAAATAATACATGACCATACATGAAAAGGGTAAACTGGATGGATAAACAGGGTGAATCAATGCATAACAATACTTATGAAGCATACCTTACGACTTTTGATGAGTTTGTTTTGAGCCTCAAGCTTTGCTCGTGACTGTCGCCTTCTCAGTATACCATGGTATTGTTTTGCATTGACATAAATGGGCCCATCTTCTGCAAGCTCAACTGGTAATGCAATTCTGGTGGATGCTAATCCCAGCATCTGGGGTAAAATTTGGGGTTGATTCTAATAAATTTAAAAAAGACAGTGACATCATATTAAATAATATACTATGAAATGGAAGTGTACTAAAATCTCATCCAAAAATGAAGACTATGCATTACAAAATGTACTTGACCAAACTTACAATAGCCTGTGGTCCATAAGCAACAAATGAACTACCAAAATAAGGATCACCACAAGGATAAGGAGTACGAGCCTGAAATGGAAGGACAATAACAAGTTAAATACTGAAACTGCAAGCAGCTAATCCATAAACAGCAGCTTCACTTACCATTGAATCACTGCAATCAACTTGTGAATAATTGTACATAGTGTCAGGAGGATTTGAAAAGAAGAGCGACTTCATTTAACCTTCAACATAGCAAATTCCTAGATCTTGACCAGACACAGGAATAGTTACAAGTTAGACTGGATTAGAAATTATGTAAGGCAAGGAATATCGATTCCCTTTAAAAGAATATGCATGATATACATAAGAGGAACAACAAGAACATACTTAAACTCCTCAGAATAGAACAACGGCATTTATTTCAGAAGGTTGGGAGAGAGGGACAAAATGTTCCTAAAATAGGATATCTATAGACTAAAGGATGGATAAAAAGATAATCGCCAAAAAGAGAATATATTTAATCTCAAGTCAGCAAGTTACCAGAAAAGAAAACAGAATAATAGAGTAACCAGTTTACCACATGTTTATGTTTTATACATCCGAACTACCAAGGAGTAAAAATGAAAATAAGATGAGATGCCATAGAATTTGATGTTCCCATCTTCAATTATCAGGTATAACTTCCAGTCATTTGAGCGGAAAACTCACTACTTCAACCAAATTAAAGCCCTTTTATTGTTATTTTCGGAGATATTTATCTACCCAAGAATTTTCTAGAACTTATTATGTTGTTGATAAATGACGAACCTATTATCACCATTTTGAAAAATAATTTTTACAAGGATTGATACCCAAGACACGTGGGAGTCGAGTTTCCAATTTCAACCATGGATTCTCACATTTCAAGTAATTCTACAAATTTTTAACAATATATCAAGTATACTCTCTTTCTTATCGTCACTGCCACTATAGTCACCTCAAACCACTATGGCCGAGTTCCTTATATATTATTATACCACACCATTGCCACAACTACACTGTTCTTATTGCTACTTAAATCACAGCTATCAACATTTTTACCGCTATAGTAGGTATTTTACAATGTATATCACTACCAAAAGGGAAAGGGTAAAACACCCTTTAAGTTCTTGAAAATGCAAGTTGTTGGCACTTTGATCCTGAAAGTATAAAAATCAAAACAAACAAACAAACAAAATAAACCCTAAAAGTGTAAATCATTACTCAGTTTAGTCCAAAAAAAATTTTAAAAAAATGTGACTTAAATAATAATATTAACATATATTTAGAAATTAAAATGACAATAAATGATTGTTTTTAGAAACTTAAACGAAACAATGATATCTTTCAAGGACTAAAGTGCGACATGCTAATTCAGGTACCTACCCAAAAGGAAAATTCTAAACAAAAAGCATCGTAGCATGAAATGTAGCTTACCATTCCTTGTGTAGAATGTGTACAGTATTGCAGCCTTAATTCTCAAAACCTTCAATCATACCCTACAAAACGAGCAACCTAAAAATTAAGCAAACGCGTAAGAAGCGCTCAAAGACACTCTTCTTTAGTGAGGAGGCACATAGAAAGATTAACGCAATGAAAAATAATAACAATAACAACATGCAGACAATCTACTAAACAAAAAACACACCAACGCAAACCTATATTTGATCCACAATGACCATGAGCGCCGTCACAAAAGAAAGAAAGAAAGAAAAAAAACTGTTAAGCAGAAGAAGAGGAAGTGAACTCAAAGTGGACATGCAAAAGGTAACAAACGGAAAACCGAAAAGTGGCGAGTAGGATCCAGCAAAGAGAAAGAAGAATTGGAAAAGAGTGAGGTAAAAGAAAGGTGGGTAGTGCAGAATAAATACCTATGGGATCTGGTGATGCATGAAGAAAGAAGCAAAGAGTAATAGAATTGTCGGTTGAGTTGGAGCATGTCTCCTCTATCGAAACCCTTCCACACTTTCTCACTCTACAATCTCTCTTCAATTCTTCGCCTGGTTGAAGAAGAAGCACGCGACGGGGTCCATAAATAGTCTCTCGCAAGGAACCAAACCAACCCACCTTTGGTTTGCTTATGTTTTCTAAATAGCGTCGTTTTCTGAGTGGCCCACGTACACCCTTCCTCAACCCTTGGGCCTTGGGCCTTCTTCCTCAGCACTCACCTCTCAGCCGCCCTTTACTGTTCACACTTCCCTCACGCGCATACACGCCACGCGCTGCCCCCACCCTATTACTATTAGTGATGTTCAACCCACTCCAACAATCACTCAACCACGCTCTGCCACCGCGCGTCGTTCCAATATTAGCAATCCTTCATTGCACCAAATCATATCAAAATTATATTTTAAATTTAAATTTAAATTTCACATATCTACTTGTGTATTTAGTTACTTAGTATAACATAAGAAATAATTAGATTTTTTTTCTTTCTAAAATTGATAATTTATTTATTATTATTTACTTATATGGATTCTGTCGTTTATACATAAAAAAAATTGTATTAAATTGAATTTTCTTAAAGTTTAAATATATTCAACGAATAATAGATTTGTGGACTTCAATATAGTATATTTTTTAACACTATATAAATTATCATAAATTTGATGAAAAATAAATATACATTAAGGTAAGATTCACTTTTTCAAATGAAAATGACTACATGGGTGAAAATAAATAAAGTATATCTATTATTGATTTAAATTAGCATACCTTATAAGTTTAAGGTATTTTATTATCATTGACATATCTTATAAGTTTAAGATATTTTTCTTCTCATGGTATTGATAAAAAATATTTAGCAATCTTGTCAAAAATTTGTATTTCTCAATATTTTAAGACTTAAAAATCAATCTTAGTATTAGTTGGATTAACATATTTAAAATTATAATAAAACTATTTTTTTTTAACTCTGTACATCTATCACTTCCAAATGGCCATATTTATCATATAAATAACATGTATTGATTATATTTGCATTTATGTATTATATTTGATTTGATATAATATTAATAATAATAATAATAATAATAATAATAATAATAATAATAATAATAATAATAATAATAATAATACTAAAGTGATCTTAATTCCGAAAATGTCCCACCACCTTCCACATTCTCAGTCTACTGATATTTTGCAAACTGATGTCCTTAAATGACTAATTTGCCCATTTCTGTACATTATATTTAATTCGACTACTCCTTGGAATCTTGGACCAAAACTGTGAATAACTGAGGCTTAAAGAAGTGGGTAAGTGGCCCAAACAGGTCTTTTTTGAGTTTCTCATTTTCTATACTTAGTTAATGATCAAAGGGATCATTATTGGATGCCACATGGTAATTTATTATTTCTTGCTGAAACTTGAAAGGCATAGGGTAATTTATTAATATATGGTGGATTAGGCTCATCTTAAAAGGACAAAAGAAATGTTATACTAGTTTGATCAAGTCTATCCTCAAACGATTTTAATGATATTAAAAATTTTAATAAGCTAAAACTAACGTTTGGTAACAATGTCACCTTTTCCACGCTTTCACTTCTCATTGACTTTTCAAATAAATTAATTTGGATTGATTGTGGATAAGGTTTCACTATGCAAAAGAGAATCTGTACTAAAGTTTCTATTCCTTAAAAAAATATTAATCGCTGAAATGTCGGCAGAATGGAACTAAACAATTTAGTTTTAGACCAACAACCTACGAGTAAAATATGATAAAAGATAGGGAATCATTTTCATTATTTTTAAATGTGCAAAAAAATTCCACACTGCAAAAGTAAAGTTAATTTTCTATAATCAAGGATAAATACAAGAGAATCCAAAGATATAAACCACATATATAAAGAAAGAATGATGTAATAAAAAAGTAAAACGAGGGGGCGAAAGTGATGTGATCCTTTTCCTTACTTGATCAGACAGGGGAAGTTGATTCCTGGTTAGCCATAACTAGACAGTGATATTGTTGTGATGGGGAAGACCAGCTAACAGGAAAAGAGAAACAGATTATAGATAAATTGGATTATTATTTTTTGGTGGAAATGATAATATGATATATTTTATTAATTCATGAGTTATAAAGTTTTATCTTTTAATTTTGAGCACTTTCACTACAAAATTAATTGTGTGGTTAGGCTATAATTATTTTGAAGAGAAAAAAAAAACATTCCTTTACCATTTTTAAGAAGAGATTTTAATGGGTACAAAAATTATTTGTCTGAAATTAAGCTAAAGCAAAATGAACAAAGCATAGCAATATTTTTCTGTAAAAATAAAATAATGTAGAAATTTCCGATATTCGTATTTGTGTAAGCCAAATTGAGGAATTTTTGCTAAAAAAAAATCATTTGATAAAAGAAGAATATCCAAGATATTGAAGAAGAGACGCATGGATAAGCAATAAGGAAATGCATCACACTGAATAATGGTTTTGTCAATCTTTACAATAATCAATATAGAGTTTTGGAATAAATTGAATTTTATGAAGTATTTAATTAAATATGCTGATAAGATACATATTCAACGACTCGTGACATGACTTTACAATGAGAAATTGATAAAAGTATGTAGTAACTAGTAAATACGATCAAGTAGTATTGTTGTGATTGTAAGTAGTCATTAAGATAGGGACGGATTTTTTATTTATTTTTTAAAGATGGGTGTCGTATAGTATCATTATGCAAGGAGATATTTTAATTAAGATATTACCATATCACGTCTATTATATGCATCTGTTATTAAAAATGAAAAGAAATATAAAGTGGAGACCAAACCAAACTCACTAAACAAAAAGAAAAGTTTTTTTTTCACTCTTGTAGTTTTTTTTTTAATTATTAATGTAAATAAGATTATTATAAAACTATTTATACATTTTAAATTGTTATCTACAATATTACTATGAGGCACAGAGACATAGGTAATACATAGTTTCTTTTTTTATTGTGCATGATTTATTTTGTAGTTGCTATAGCTAATAACAACAACAAATAAGATTATCTGTTATAACAACTTGTGAAATGATACAATATGTAGGACTTAAATTTTATTATTATTATTAAAAGTTTCTACAAGGTATATAGCAAATTTTTATTATTATTTTTTGGTCATTTTGGTCTATAGTCCTATGGTGTCTCTAAGATCAAAAAGAAGCCTAGAGTATCATGAGACAATCTGGAATCTCTTGAAATGTTATAAGTTTTTATGATAACAAATAATTTTCTAAGCAGATTAGAGTTTCATAAAAATTAAAATATTTTTCTATAAATAACAAATAAGAAACTCAAAGTTAAAAAAATATATTTCAAATAAAGCAGTGACATATTTTGTCTGTAAGACAAAACACACCACACAAAGCATATGATTTGGAATCAATGCCATATTTGAAGAAATAATTAATACTTTATTCATTAGCAGATTGAACAAGAAAGCTTCTTGGTAGATAACAAAAGCTTTCGATAAGGGAATGTTAAATCATTGTGTTATGATAGAAAGAGAAAATCCAAAATATCTCAGACAAGACGCTAAAAAGGATTGCTTTGCACCAACTTCAATTGCTCTATGTCGACACCACTCTGCCACACTCAAAACAAAAGAAAGAGATGATAAGTAGCTGCCTAGATCAAATAGGGGATATATGCATCTCTAATCATGCAAGCATTAAATGCACCTATAGTACCCTCTAAAGAACAATTAGGAAGACAGATGAAGGAAATCTAAACGTTTAAATTTTGAACGTTGCTGCAACAGTTACCTTCCTAAAAGCTACTATATAAAGGTAAAATCCTCAATCAAATACAATGATCCTAATAGAAAAAGTAAGTTGCGTGAACAAGAAAGATGAACATGATGTGAACTATGAAGTAAGAGGAAGTGTGAAGAAAAATAAAAGAAAAGCGTTGAAAATAAAGAGCATATTATACAGAGCAAACTCACTAAATGAGAAATACATAGCTAAAGTCCTACGAAGAAGATCTTCATACAAATCTCATAGAGTTTTTTATAGGCTGCTTGTACCAAATTTGTATAGCACCATGTAAAAGAGATGAAACTATTTTTGTAACTCTTGCCAATTGTATTTGTAAGGATTGAGTCTGAAGAGACGTGTGTAAAAAATATTTTGTTTAAGTTTAGAGAGGCTTGGTGAAAGAATACTTGATTTGAGCCAGAAGTGACTTGTGTAAATAATATTTTTATATTGTTGAAGATAGTGAAACTCAATCGGGTTGGATTGAGAACTGGATGTAATTTTTGGGTTGGAGATGAACCAGTATAAAAACACTTGTATCATTTCATTTGTTTCTACTACTTCGTTTGATTACCTTTCTGTATCTCATTTATATACATTTTTCACTGTAAAAGTGCAAGTTTTTTTATATATACTATTCAATCTCTCCTTTTAGTGTGTATGTTTATCTCAAGCAGTACCCTATGCACAAATTATTATTTTTTTAGAAAATAACATTTTTTTATATAAATAACTAAAACAAAGTATTTTACACCATTATTTAGTATTAACATTTTTTATTATCTAAATTTTAAATTTGACCGCTATAAACCATACTTATGTTTTTTTATAATTAAATAAAATGTTAAATATTAATTGCACTTTAGTTTTTCTTTAGTTGATTTTATTTATTGAATTTTTTTTATATTTAATTTGTAGTAAGCTTTTTTTAACCGGGTGGTAATTATTTAATTTAAAACTGTTAACATGTAAATGTTAACTAAAAAATTTAAATTTAAAAAAATATGGTCATCATGACCTATAGTGACTTTCAGACGCTGTAGCGTCATACTTTGGCTTAAAAGATTTTATTTTATTTTTACTTTGATATTAACTGTGAATATTTTTGAACATGTAAGTTTTTTTAAAAATAAAAATGACTTTATTTTTTAACATGTAAATATTAACTAAAGAAATTAAATTTTAAAAAAATGTGATCGCTATTAATAGTAGAGAAAGACAGAATTTAAACGAAGAGTATGCGAACAAGTTATATATATTTTGCTAGTGAGTATGTGCTAACAACCTGATTTTCTGACTTGTGAAATTATAAATGACCA